CCCCCCCTTCAAAATCAGTTACTATATGATGCCTGCGCTACCGTAAGGTAGGGGGCACACTCAGTCTCCACTCTGTCGCGCCCACTGCGCTCATCCTGCTTCGACTGACTGTACCTTAACGTCGGTTGATGTGCGGAAGTTAGATTCTTTACAGGTTATGGCATGGGCGCGTTAGTGCGCGCCCTCCAACTTGTGCGAGAGACTGCCCTTTCGTTTACGTGTACCAAGAGGTACTTGTCACTCCTGTCGCCCTTTGGGCTTTAGCCTAGTGTACGTACACACATAAAAATTTCTGTCGGCTATGGCTGACGCCGAAAGAACGCCCCGATGTTGAGATGGCGACGACAAACAGCGAACTTAGCCAATTGTTGATACTGGTATATTAACTCTTTCGCTTGGGGGATCAAGGTTTCTCCTCAATCAGACCTCAAGAGTACACAACCTTGGCGCGTTTCAATAAGAACTGCAACAATGAGGATATGGTTCGATCCCCTCCCTATGATACGGCCCTGTATGCACGTCTACGCGGCCATTTGGCTGCAGAAATGGAGAAAGCTTTTGATAAGGTCATCCGTGATTGCAGTTGGTGGCGACGATGCGCTGATTGGAACTGGAGATGACGAAGTGCAGTAACCGCGGCCGACTTGGACCAGGGATTCCACTGACAAGGTCTTGAATGCATGGCGCCACATGCTCAATAAGTCTAAGGAGCCAACTGGTGGTGGTCCACAAGGCCGAGAGGTCTGCAACCATGACAACAGATGCATCTTGGAGCTCCTGAGATGGCGCATTTCCCGACCCAACAAATGAGGAGCAACGTTCGGCGTTTGCTGTTGACATGTCAGTCTGGGTTACTGCCAGCTCGGACGTCAAAGGCCAGGCCCTTGAGAATATTCCCAATAATCGAGAGCGACACCAGTGGTTTTTAGCCTGCCAAGTCCACCAATCTTGTTGTCCATGAGACGCGGAGGGATGGCATTCAGCCCTATGGTGTTGTTGTTCTGCGTGGTATGTTCTGGTTCACAATGATAAATCGCGCCATTGCGCACCATCGCAAGGCAGGCCGAGACCCTATTTTATGACGACGAGTGTTGCGAGGCTTTTTTTTGGTAAGATGTACAACTCCGTTCCAGGCTCCGGCTCTGCGGGGGGTCCTCCAGTAGCGTGGCTTCCGTAGAAACCACCCGTAGTGACGCGTTCTAAGACGAGTCCGACGCGTTGGATGGGAATCCGATGTCCAATCCGACCACTCGATGATCGCGTTCCGCGCGGCGGCCGCGCGTCGCTCCTCGGCCGCGTTCGCGCGCGAATAAAACCCCGAAAACGGTACCTCCAGGGACGACCGGACAACCGAGCGACGACGCTCGCCGGCGTCCGTCGGCGGGGTGTCGGTGGCCATTTAAGTGGGAATGACCCCGCGTCGATAGCCGGAGAACACCCAAGAGCACCAACGAAAGTCAAGATCTCGTCAAGGTGCCGACACGAAGGCCAAAACAGATGCGAGGTATGCGACGCGCCAAGACCGCTTCCGGCGGGAGCGAGGAGGCGGCGCGGGACACGGCGTGGCCGCGGACCGGGGACCTCGAGGACGGCGCGCCGCCGCCGCAGACGGCGCCGCAGACCGGCGCGACCTCGAGCTCACGGACGCGGCCGGCGCGCGCCGGACGTGCGCCATGCGCTTCAACGACGGCGAGTCCATCGCGCGGGACCTCCAGGAGGCCGCCGTCTTCGCGTGCGCGACGCCCGCGCGCGGGTACCAGGACGAGTCCGAGCTCTTCGTCGCCGCGGAGGGCCCGCGCGGCCACGTCATCGAGACGCTCCGCGCCGACCAGACCATCAACGGCATCAACTTCAAGAAGGGCCGCCTCCTCGTCTACTGCCACGACCTCGCCCGCGTCCACGACGACCCGGCCCGCCGCACGTTTGAGCTCGAGCCGACGCTCCGCGCCGTCGAAGCTCGGATGGTCCAGAAGACGGGCGTCGCGCTCGACGACGCGGGAGACGCGCCGGCGCCCGCCGACAAGCCCAGGACGGGCCTGTCGGCGGCCTTTGCCGCCGTCGACGGACGCCTCGTCGTGCTGTCCGAGGCCGAGAACGCCAAGACCGTCGCCGCGTGCGGCGGGTGACTCCGCGCTCGCCGTCGTCTCCCGCCCCGCGCGCCCCGCGCCACAGTGCACCTCGCGACGATCTTTTAGCAGAAACTCATAAAAAGAGGCTAGATCGACGAGGAATCGGGGTGTTTCGACGGGACAACGGTCCTTTAAACGCGGCTATGGTTTACCCCAAAATCGGAGTCTGCTGGAGGTCCCTCCGCGTGGCGAGAGCCTCCAGTTGGTTTTGTGAAAAAGAACAACAACATGGTTCTCATTCATGGAGTTGCCTGTAGTTTGCTGCCCAAGTAGGTCGATTTCGAAGGGGTCTCAGACGTCAGGCCTTGCGGGTCTGCTTTGCAAATTCTTTGATATCCATCCAGCACTCCAATCAGTCCGCGGGCAATCACTTGCCTTGTTGGGACAGGGTTGAAGCGGTGGTCACGAACTGTGCGCTACTGTACTACTACCCTACTACTATCATGCTAGTACTGTACCTACCCTAGTAGGCTCTCCTTCCCGTTCCCCTCCTTTATAATCAGTTACTTATATGGTGACTGCGCTACCGTGAGGTAGTACACTGCGCTACCGTGAGGTAGCACACTGTGCTTCCCCTCTCTCACCCACTACGCTCATCCTATTATTGTTTATTTAGCGTCGGAGAAGCCGCATGCCCAAGAGCACACGCGGCCGATAGGTCTCAAACGGGGCCCTGCTTCTACGGACCGTACCTTAGCGTAAAGTTGATGTACGGAATTCTTTACAGTGCGCCAGGGTCCTGTGTCTCTCTCGTGCAGTGCAGCGGCGTGGCTTTGTTTGATCGCGGACACTGTTGCTGTCGTTTGCGTCTAACCTATTGTAACGGCAGAGCTACATAGAAGAGCTACAAAACCAAGTAGACCTGCATCGTCTTCTTTCCGACGCCCTAGCTAGCAACCCAACTGCAACAAGGGCCGAATCTAAGCCGAGAGCGCCCAGGTGAGACTCACGCGCGCCACACAGCCCATCGGGATCGCAGCCATGGACGCGAAGAGGGCGATCCGCGGCGAGAGGAAGACGAACTCGGTTACGGTCACTTCCACCGCCGACACACCCGAACGCGGGCTACCCCGCGGCGGCAATGACGTCGGCTATCCTCGAAGAATCAGAGCCTCTGAGCGTGCGCGCCATGGTTGAGAACGTATGATCAGCAGACCATGCCAGAAAAGCGCCCGCCGTACCGACGTCGATTTCGGAGAATCAGGCGAGGCGCTGTTAGGCTGCGCAAAGGCTCCATCGCCTGCCGCCGCTGGCCACGACTGTCCCCTGCGGGCATGTTGCCGCGGGTGCTGCGTCCAAGGGGCCCCTCAAGGGGGGTACGAGTATGTTCTGTGACATGCCACGTGCGTTTAGGCCCTGGCTCTGACCACGGTCGACCCCCCCCCCCCCCA